GTGCCTCTGGGGCTTGCCCTGCTCTCTCTCTCTCTCTCTCTCTCTCTCTCTCTCTCTCTCTCTCTCTCTCTGTGTGTGTGTGTGTGTGTGTGTGTGTGAAACTAGCTTCATTTTCCCAGCTGCTTTGGAGTAGTTAGGGATCTGTAGAGATGGCTGCAAAGTCTGTGAAGAGAGGTTCAGGTGCTGGAAACATGGAAAGGAGATGGTGGGTCCTGCAACCGCCTAGCTGCCATGTAGTTTGACAACATGGTACCCTAAGGAAGTATTCTCCTTACACTTCAAAAAGTGTAAAAATAAGAAGAAATATGTGAGGAGAAAGCATGCCAGAGAAAACAGGGTAGCCTAACATGAGTCTGTAGAGCAGACATTTAATGCAGATGGGATAGCAGACCACTTCTGGTTGTGCCCATGGTAAGATTGCCCTGTAGCTAGAACGGATGTGAGGCCCTGGAGAATTTCTACAATTGGGTCTGCCAGATGACTTGATTCTGTTAATCTGGCAGTTAAAAATGGTCACAAGACAGGTGGAACATTTTTCAAAGATTTATTAATGACTTGAATTGATAAAGTCCTTTATGTATTGAGGATGTTAGCCCTTTGTCCTATGCATTGTGAAGATATCTCCCTATTTGCCTTTTGACTTCCTATGGGTTAAAAAATTATTTTTCTAAGCAGAAGTTGAAAACTTTGATAGTTCTTTTTTAAAATTATTATATTTCTGGATTTTGAGTCTTGACTGGGAAAGGATTTTCCCCCCTCACATCTAGTTTAACATACACCCATCAAATACTTTTGCCATTTTATTTTTTAATATTTAAATTTCAGTGCATGTATAATCTTTTGGTGGAAGACATAAAACAGAATAAATTTCCCATCTCCATATATTCCCTCTTCAAAGGCCAGCCAGCCCTCTAGTGACATTTTTTGGTTAGTATGTCTTTTCTCTGTTATTTAGAGATGCTGCTCACATTTTGTGTTTCAAGATACATTTGGGTCTAATTCTGCGTGTGTATTGTTTTGTTCATCTGCCTATTTTGCCTCTAGTATCAAGTAGATACTACACGGAAGTCTCCTACTCTCTAATTGGTATTCCCAGTAGGTTTAAGAGGATGTGGTGTCAAAAGGGAACTGTCTGAAGAGCGGGGTAGATTGCTTTCAGATGCAAAACAAAATTACTAAATTATAGGTTATGATGGAGGCAATGAACAAAGAGAGCTTTACAGAACATATACTTGGTGAGTTTGAGACTAGCTAAATAATTCTAAAGAAAAAAAAGGGATGGAGATTATGGGTGAAAATGGTATGAGGCTGGAAGATGGGTGGATGGATGGATGGATGGATGGATGGGAGATAGGATAGATCAGAGGACGAGTAGATTGGAAGATGGATGGATGGATAGATAAGAAGATGATGGATGAACAGATGGCAATATGGATGGAAGGAGGGATGGGAAGGATGGATGGAAGACGGAAGGATGAATGAGAGATAGGAAAATGGGTAAGAAGTTGATGGATTGATGGATGAATTGGAGGATAGATGGATAGATGGGTAGATAGATAGATAGATAGACAGACAGACAGACAGACAGACAGACAGATAGATGGGTGGGAGGATGATGGGTGGTTGGGAGGATGCATAGATTGGAGGATGGATGAATGGTAATAGAGTGGATAAAGGTTTTCAGAAGAACCAGTAATGGAAGGAAGAGAGAGATTAGGCAAAGAAAAGAATGTAATATCACTTCTGTGTTTGAGGTGAGAATCACTCTTTACCATTAACCTGATTTTCACTGGAACCTGCCTATAGAACAACTCTGACCAAGATCTCCTATGGCTTTCATGTAGTTTCAGCCAGATTTCAAGAATCTGTTCATTCCCTAGGCTTCATCACCAGCTCCTTGCTCCATTATCACCTCTGACTTGGATACCCTGTTCTAAAGGCTTTCACAACAGTGCATTTCTTGTTTCCCTTCTGTCCTCTAGGGGCTCTTCTCCCTCTGCCCACTCTCTTGGCTGGGCTACCTGGAAGCTTGCCCTAACTCTCTCTATTCTCATGACATTATCTGCTCTGATTCAGAGGCTCACACTCCCATCTTGTACAAAGGGTGTGTGTTGTAGTCTGCTTTTTTTTTTTTTTTTAAATTCTTTTTACTCTTTGGGGGACCCACCACCCAGCTTCCAAATAAATTCACACGATGTCTTATTCTTTCTTATGAGTGCCTGGCCTTAGCTTGGCTATTTTCTTGGCAGCTTTTCTTAACTTAAATTATCCCATCTATCTCTTGCCTCTGGGTTTTTCCCTTTCTCTATTTCTGTATATCTTTCCTTCTTATTCCATGTCTGGCTGTGTGGCTGGCCCCCCGCACCCTCTTCTCCTTCTCTCACTCCTCCATCTCTCCCTAGATCTCTCCTCCTATTTATTCTCTCTGCCTGCCAGCCCTACATATTCTTTCTCCTGCCTTGCTGTTGACTGTTCAGCTTTTTGTGTGATTTAGACAAGCAAAGTAACATAGCTTCACAGAGTTAAACAGATGCAACATAAAAGAATGCAGCACATCTTTGCATCATTAAACCAACACTCCACAGCATAAACAAATGTAACACATCTTTAACTAATATTCTACAACAGACGTGCTTCTGCCTGGATGCAGCTACCCTTTACTGTTGTCATCACCCTCTTGCCACTGACGTCTTAGTTGGCAGGGTTGGGTCACTGAATCCAGTTGCCCACCTAAACTCAGATGCGGCGTCCTTCCTGTGGGCCACCATGGTCCTGCCCTCCCCTGAAAGAACTGTTTGTTCCTCCTGTCTACTCAACCCGCACACCGGGAGCAGGGAAACCGTTGGCTTTGCACAGCTAGACACATGGTGAATGCTGTGGAACGTGAAAGCCGGCAAGTCCATAGGAAGAGGCCTTTTGGAGCATCTGCTAGATAAGAGTAACTGCCACTTGCAGAGGAAAGAAAAGTTTTTAGGACAGGCTTCCTGCCCTGTTTTCTCTTCTTTCTTCATAGAGCATACTTACTCTGTTTTTACAGCCAGATTTTGTTGGGTTTTTGGAAAAGCACAAGTTTTTAGAACTTAGACCCCCACTGTGTCCTTGGGGCCCCACTGTTGGGTACACAGATGGGCTATGAGTCTCACTCTGGCCGAAGAAATCTTTTATTCATTTCCTCTAGTTGCTGGAACAAATCACTCAAACTCAGGGCTGTAAAACAATGCAGATTTATCGTCTGATGGTTGTGCAGGTGAACAGTCTGTTCTCTTGGAGTCAAATCCAAGGTGTGATGAGGGCAGGCCCTTTCTGTTCCCACAAACACAGTGAGTTGGGTTTAATGATAGGCATGCTGAAGTATGTCACAGGAAAGTACCTAGTGCCTGTGGTGCCTCAGAAATAACAGGGGTTGGTAACTGGCAGGAAGCCAAAACAGGCATCTGGCAGAGGAAGTATAGTAAAGTGGTGAGGATGGTCTAGCCCCCAGCCGAGCCTTACTTGCTGTCACTTTTGCATTTCATAACTTCCTTTTTAATGCTTTTTCTTTTTCTTTCTTTTTTATTTTTTAAAGATTTATTTATTATGCACAATGTTCCTGAATGACAGAAGAGAGCACCAGATCTTGTAGATGGTTGTGAGGCACCATGTGCTTGTTGGGAATTGAACTCGTGACCTCTGGAAGAACAGCCAGTGCTTTTAACCCCTGAGCCATCTCTACAGCCTCCATGATTTTCTTTTTGTGACATTTATCTATTTTAATTTGATGTGTAGAAGTATTTCGCCTGCTTGTGTGTCTGTGCACTGAGTGTATGGAGTCTCATAGAGGCTAGAAGAGGGCATTGGGCCCCTTGGGACTGGAGTTATACTCAGTTGTGAGTTACTATGTGGGTGCTGGAAATCCAATCTGGGGTTTCTGGAAAACAGTCAATGTTCTTAATTACTGAGACATCTCTCTATCCCTGGGAATTCTCTTAATAAAATATTTGGAGAAAAAAAAAAGGTTAGTGGTGTCATTATTGACAGAAAGCAGCCTTTTATTCATTTACATGAGTCTATGTAAGGGCCATGGTTCCTCAATCAACCAGAGGCAGCTTTGACCCAAGAGGGCACTAAGTAATATCCGGAGAACTGGTTTTTCATTTGAGTACATAATTTCACTAGAGTCTAATCATGTCTGGAACTGCTATGTAGCCTGGGCTGGCCTCAAACTCATGACCCTCCTGCTTTAGCCTCCTTTAGCTTTAGCTGGGATTGCAGACATTCACCACCATGCCCAGTGTTAGACACTCTTGTGATAGTCATGTCTGGGGCAGTGCTACTGATTTCGATCAGGAAGAGGTCAGAGAGGTTGGCAAGCATTTCCCCATGCAGAGGGAAGACCCACAACAGGGCACAGTCCAGCTGCACATGCCAGTGGGTGAGGGCTGAGAAGCCCTGGCGTATTTATTATATAGCAGGTTTGAATGTGTGCTTTCATATACTTGCGCTGTGTAGGCACAGGCATGTTACTATGACATGAAATGAAACGATGAGATTGAATTTCCTAACCCATTACTTGTCTTCCCAAGTGTTGAACTGCCTTCACACACTGCACTCCGGTGGTGCTCACAGAGCTATGCTGCGCTGCCGTGCATGGCTTTATTTGAACATTTCAGGTGTTTGCCTACCCTCGGTCAGCTTCAGTAGACTTTGGGAGGTCCCTGCCAGGTGAGGCTCTGATCTGTGTGGCAGATGTCCTTTTAGAGAGAAGACTCATTGGCCATCCTTGGACAAACTTTGTGGTGCTCTTTTCTGTGGGTGCTTTTTTCTAGGGTGTGAGGCCAGTGGGGGCAGTATGGCATCTCATCAGCTCCGCCTACTCTGGGCAGCTCCGGCTGTGGATCTGGGGGTGGGAGAGCCGTTCCAGGTTCCAGCTGATTTTGTCTCCTGTGTACGGCTGGATCTGCTGCTGTGTCTGCCAAGGTCACAACATGGCTCTAAACTCTGGCTTCTCCTTTCCATTACAGGCCTCTCCTTCTGATGAAAAGAGAAGGGAAGGATGGACTACACGCACCAAACTGCCCTAGTCCCGTGCGGACAAGATAAATACATGTCCAAGTAAGATGTCTCATAGTACTGCTCAGCCAATGCTGGGACTCTGTGGGTGGATGGAAGCGTTTGGAGAGGACTCTGGGTGGATGGAAGCACTTGGAGGGGACTCTGGGTGGATGGAAGCACTTGGAGGGGACTCTGGGTGGATGGAAGCACTTGGAGGGGACTCTGGGTGGATGGAAGCACTTGGAGGGGACTCTGGGTGGATGGAAGCACTTGGAGAGGACTCTGGGTGGATGGAAGCACTTGGAGGGGACTCTGGGTGGATGGAAGTGTTTGGAGAGGACTCTGGGTGGATGGAAGCACTTGGAGGGGACTCTGGGTGGATGGAAGCACTTGGAGGGGACTCTGGGTGGGTGGAAGCACTTGGAGGGGACTCTGGGTGGATGGAAGCACTTGGAGGGGACTCTGGGTGGATGGAAGCGTTTGGAGAGGACTCTGGGTGGATGGAGGCGTTTGGAGAGGACTCTGGGTGGATGGAGGCGTTTGGAGAGGACTCTGGGTGGATGGAAGCCGCCAGGAGAGGAGTTTCATTGGTGTGAGCAGCTAAGCAGCTTACATGGACTAGTGAGGGCAGCAACAATATAACCAGCAGCCATAGATGAAAACATGCCTGGGTGAACCTAGCCTGACCAGTAAAGGGGGTAACAGGACACAGCACCTTTGGAAACTCAAACAAGCCTTCCACAAAGAGGAGTTGGCTGATGGCTGCTTGCTTGGCTCTGAATGTGTGTACCCCCAAATTCCCTCTGCAGTCTCAAGCCTGTGGTGCTGATTGGGATGTGGGCGTCTGTAGGGGTGGAACCCCCACCTGCAAAGTAATTGGCCTTAGGAAAGCTGGAGGGTAGGTATTGGGTTATCCTTCTGCCACGTGAGAACCAGCCCTTGCTAAACACTGAATCATCCATGGCCTCATCATGGATTCCTCAGCTGAGAAGTAAAATCCTATTGTATAGTTTTTTTGTCATAACTGCCATGAATGGCCACAAACATGGCTCACTGCCCCGCTGTGGTGTTGCCTAGGAAAAGACAAGGCTGCAGTAGCATGCCAGGAACTGCCATGGCTCTGACTAAAAATGAGAAGTTACCCTCTGGGGGGGGGGGAAGAGGCAGGGTCACTGGGGTCTGGTGACACACACCTTTAATCCCAGCTATTTGGGAGGCTGAGCAGAAGGATTGCTGGTTCAAAGCTAGCCTGGGCTGTGGTGAGTTGTAAAATCTAATCTCAAAATCAAAAAGAAAAAGGATCTGGGGATGTAGCTCTTGCTACACTTGCCTAGAATCCCCAAAGCCCAGTTCATTCCATTCTATGAGGGAGAAAAAAGAAGGGGCTGGTCCATGGCTTTCTGTACGTTAATGTCTCTGGAACAGGCTTTGCTGATAAAACAACAGAGGTTGAGCAGACATTGATTCTGATGTCCTTGAGATCAAGCCTCGTGTATGAAAGGCAAACCCTGTACACTAAGCTGTGTCTCCAGCCAGTCCCACTGCGAGTCTTCATGCCCAGCACAGGGGGTTTACCTCTTGGATGCTCCCCACCCTTTAAAATGCTTTAGCTTATCTGAGACTCAGTTGTCTATATTTGGTCACATAGAGATGCCTATTGTATGAGACCCAGAACATTCTTGCATCTTCACCAAAGGTTTTCCCTGGGGACTTCTAGTGAGCAGGAAGTTTGGATAGTACAGTGAGTCCTTGGTTGGTGTTTTGAGGAGACACATTTTTCTCTAACTCATTCTGGCTTGTGTAGAATGACTCCTTCCCTGAGGTTTAGCCTGTATCAAGAGCTCTCTAGGGGGTTTGACTCCCATTGGGGTCCACAATCTCTCCATTGGGCTCCAAAATCTTCCTATTGGCTTGCTGAGTTTAGAAGAGCTGAGCTCTGTTCTGTTACCTTTTTCCTGGGAAGAGGCAGACACACAAGACAGGCAGCATCCCAAGCTGTCACCTGGTGTCCCTCATGGAGTGATAAACAGCAGGCCTATGTATCAAGAGTAGAAGATTGCCAGAGTCCCGAAGGCTCCACCAACCCATGTCTATTCACTGCCCTCTGAGAGCTCTGGCTTCTTCCACTTAACGTTAAGACGTGTGAGATTCATCAGGGTAGCCGGTGGTACATTCATATTTTCATTGGTGTGTTACTCCAGTGTGTGACAATAACTTCCTTTATTTGTCTATTCTGTTGATGAGAATTTGCTAAACATGACAGGGGTTGGTTTGTCAATGAAGCCCAATGTCGGGGACAAACACCTCCCCATCCCTTGGCAGCCTCGTGGTGATCCGTGGGAAGGGTGAAGAGTAAAACTCAGGACGGTACCATCTTAGAGGGCACTGGGTCAAGCCCTCCAGGGACTGACATGATTTACTTTCCTTACACATTTAAACATAGTAGAACTTGTAACATGTGACCTTTACAGTAAGAATGGATTCCATTGGCTGATATACAGAGCTCAGGACTAGAGCCTGGAGAAGGATCTGTGATAAATATAAGGATAGATTCTATTGGTGGAGAATGCCAAGTACGTGGGGCCTCTTTCATAGGGACGTGTTCTACTCACTGCAGGATCATGGTCTGAACAATGCTCAGGATATTAGGGGATTCAGGTGGAGGTCAGCTCCTAATAGCAGAGCAAAGAACCACTCGGTTGATTGACTTTTTCACTCTGGTATTCCAGGTGACTAGACATCATTCATTTCCTTCCGCTGAAAAAAATAGTGTTAGGGTTGTTGAGAGTCTAGCTTTCTCCAATGCTTGAAGCTAAGCCTCTTACAGTCTAAGTCATCCCTGTCAACTTCCTAAAGGGGCCAGAAGTCTCAGAGCTTTGTGTCCTCATTCACAGCAAGCATGAGAGAGGCAGGAGAAATCCTGCTGGCATGGAAAGGCCATTTGTCTCTGAATCTGTGACTTGTACCTGCTTGCCTGTGGGTTGGGGCAGAATGGTGGAGATGCTGGTCTTTGTCCACAGACTGCCATGAGGTCCCAGGCTATTTCCTGATGCTTATCTTGACCTTGATCATGGGGAAAGGTGTCAGTGGGGTGGTTGGTGCAGAACTCTTCATGCATGTGTGTGTGCACACGTGTGTATTTGTGTGTGCACACCCATGTGTATGTATATTCAAAGGACTGCTGAGGACAGTTGGGGGGTGAGCAAGAAAGGGAATGATTGCACTGTGATGGCTTTAGCTGACAACGTACTTCTCCCCAAGGAATGAACTTCTCCTCCATCTGAAGACCTACAACTTGTACTATGAAGGCCAGAACCTGCAACTCCGACACCGAGAGGTAAAGTGTCCCCCTAGGAAGCCTGGAGCCTCCTGCTCTGATAGCGCCCAGTCTCTTCCTTGTCCCTCATGCCATCGCAAATGATCCCAGGACTTAGGATGCCAATGGGTGTCCTTCTTTTACTCATTCTTTGTACTCATCTTGTATCTGTTTCTGCAAACTATAAAGAAGCTTGTGAGAATAACTTATGTTCAATAGTTCTTGGCTGAGTAGAACACATTTTCAAGTGATCAGTACCTGGTGATTTAGTTCATAGAAAGAGAGAGCAAGTGGTGGATTTCAGCTGCTAAGGCAAGCTGTTTGGGGAATAGATACAAAGTGCAGTGGCCTTTCCCCGTCTGTTAAAGCATTTCACTTCGAGTCCTATTGTGGGTTAAATTCCACCCTGCTATTAGAATAAAGGAGTGATGCTAGTCCTGGCCAGCTGGAAACCATACAAACAGCCCCGCCTACATAAAGCCTTTCTCCTTACGACACCAAATGTTGATTCCTCTCCAATCTTGTTTAGTCTCCCCCTCACCACAAGGGCGACCCTTTGGCCCAGGTCAGCTGACCACTGAACAGATGTCCTGAAGATGCTCATGGCCCCTCTCTGACACTCATGAAAACTTGGGTTCAGAAGGGAAAAAGAAGCCTGACCCTTGTAGGGGACTAACTGGTGGCTGGGCCGTGAGCGTGAGTCTTGCATAGGACCTTGCTTGCACGGCTGTCCGGCTTCTATCCTTGGATTACTTTGTGTAGCTGTGAACGCACAGCCTGGCAGACAACTTAAAAAAAAAAAAAAAAAAGGACATTTGCGCTCATGGTTTCAGAGGGTGTGGTCTGGGGTTACTTGGCCTCATGAGCCCAGGTGAATATGCTGTGGTGGGAGTGTGTGGCAGGATAATTTCTTCACTTCATGGCAGATAGGAAGTAGAAATGTACAGGAAGTTACTAGAGAGCAGGAGTAGCCCTCAGTGGCCGACTTCCTCCAGTTAGACCCTCCCTCCTAGGGTTTCCACCAGCAAGGAACCAAACAGTTAGCCCATACCCTGTGAGAGCATCTTGTAATCAAGCCGGAAAGATCCTGTAGTTCCTCTCTGAGACCTCCAGTCTACATAGGACTGGAGGGCTGCACTGAGGCAGGTTTTACATGTAGTTAAAACTTCTTGTTAGTCAACAACCTTTGGGTACAACTTTGGAATTCCTGAAGGATTTATTCACCTCTTGGGAAGTGTCGTAGTGTGTTGGATTTTGATGAGCACAGGGGAGTTTTGCTTTAAAAAATAGTCAGATCAGCACGGCAGCTGCCAGACACTTGACACCTTTTAAGGCAACAGTTCTGCTCCAGGAGTGCCTTCTATAAGTAAACTTGGGGAACGCTTTGAGTTGTTGTTACCCAGTCAGGTCGGATTACTAAACACAAGAGGAACAGCCAGCTCAAGGGTTTAGTTTTTGCCTTTAATTAGTAAGGCCAGTCTCTGTTATTTTAAGATCTTGACTCTCTTCCTCTCCCTCCTTTCTTCCCTCCCTCCATCCCTCCCTTCCTTGTCTTTTCTAGTCTGTGGCTCATACTGGCTTGGAACTGATGATGGCAATCCTCCTGCCTCAGCTTCCTGAGTACTGGTACCAGAGGTATGAGCTGCCACACCTGGCCATTGAATTCTGATTTCCTTAAAATCATGAGTATAAAGACAGTAAAAAGTTTTGATGAATTGCACATGTGTATCTCAAGTTCCAAGAAACAGGGGTTTGTGGGTGTGTTGCTGGGGGAATCTCCCCATGCTGCCGAGAGAGCCTTCCCTCCACTCAGCCTCTTCACAGAAACCTTTCTGCTGCTGACCATTGAGGTCAGCTGCAGGGAGCTAGGGGACAGCAGAGTGAGCCTCAGAGCTAGGATTTGCATACCACTTGAATCCTGTGGATCCACTATGGGCTTGCTTCATGGCAGGAAGAAGATGAGTTCATTGTGGAGGGGCTGCTGAACATCTCCTGGGGGCTGCGCAGGCCCATTCGGCTCCAGATGCAGGATGACCATGAACGCATTCGTCCCCCTCCGTCCTCCTCCTCCTGGCACTCTGGCTGTAACCTGGGCGCACAGGGGTGAGTGAAGGGGGGATGTCTGGGACTCCTGGTCCAGTTCCTAGAATTCCCCACTGCTACCTGCTATGGGTCTGGGATGGGAAGAAAGGGGCGTCTGACCTGACTGCAGAGTGAGGAGGAGTGAGTGGTTCCGAGTCAGCAAGGGAAGTGCGGAGGAGTGGTGGCAGAGGGTCCTCCCTCAAGGAGAGCCTCCAACTCTCCAGGGTTCTTGTTAGTGGCTCACTGATCCAAGCTTGCAGGCTCTGACAGAGCGCCAACCCACACACATCCTCCCAGCTGGAATAGGCCTGCTTCTGGAACATCTAGAGTTTAAACCCGCTGATCAAATCTATCTTGGTGGAACCTAATGGAAGAAAAGGAATGTTCTGTCTGAGCTAGCCAAGTGAGGTCAGCCAGGGGTCTCCCGTACACCTGGAACAGGTCATGGCACATAGGCAGTAGTCTAGGAGGCCTCCTATTGGTCGTCACTGTCGGTGAAGACGTGCCTGATCTCTCACCTTTGGTGGCCAAACGGACAGCTGGTTGCTGGCACCGGGCAGATCTTTTGTTCTCTCTGGGACTTCAGTTTTAAGATCAAGTGACTAGTCTTGTTCCCCTCGAAACTTGCTGAAGTGGGTGGCACTCGGGCCAGAGCCTGGGTGGAGTGGGATGGCTGTGCGGCCAAAACCACAGGGAGGAGCTTTCTACTTTAAAGGGGAACTGAGCCCACCCCCTCTGCTGGCTGCCTGGAACATTGTTACATTCCACAGCCAAGTGTATCATTCTCCTTAGTTGAGAAATACCTACAGAACAGCCAAACGCTGGAACCAGCCTTGGCTCTCTCTTCCCAAGAGAACTGAAGGAGGGAAGCTGTAGCCTCACCCACTGGGCATGGAGAAGCCTGGTCAGGGCTTCGGCTTGCTCTCAGCACTTAGACTGTGCTTCAGTTCCAATGGGCCAGACCCTCCGAGCCTGGCTTTGACCTCTCGCTGTTACATTCAGTTCTTCAAGAGAGATGAGTTTAAAAATCTCATTTTCCCCTGATGCCCTGGGCTGGAGCTGCAGGGGTCCTGCAGACTGTGCTCCTGATTTCTCTCCATTCCCCATGATAAGCTGGTTCTTGAAGCCTGTAAATAGGTGAAGAGCTTTCAGAAGCATGTCCCAGATGCTAGTGCAACGTGAACATTGGCTGTAGGACTGTGTGTGAGGTGCCAGGGCCAGCTTCTGCTCTGGACCCTAGAGAGAGGGGTGGCACCTGGGCCAAGCACCCACTGTGCTCTGAAGGGTGAGGACCGAGGCTTAGACAGCTGTGAGGAGAAATTCTTGGAGCTTTTCAATTTTACTTTTCTTCCCTTAACACCATCATCCCAGGAACGCAGGCCTTAGAAAGTTCCCATTCTTCTCACCTTGTCAAACAGTCTTTCCCTTCAGACCAAATCCCCTTTTGGTTTTGGATGTGTTTTTCCCAGCTGCCCCTGTTTCTCTTTGGGGCTCCCAGTCACCACAGCAAACCTGAGTCTCAGCTCAGGTGACCTGTTGTGGTCCCTTCTCCAGCTTGCAACCCTGAGAGTATTCACTCCTGAGGCAGCTTCTGAGATATTCTTCCAACAGAAAGAAACCCAGCCTGGAATCGTGTCCCGTGAAAGTGAGCTGTAGACCCCACACATGCTGAGAATTGGTGCAGGCCACACACAGGCTTTGTTCTGGATTCCTACCCCCCCACTCTGGGTCCTGATGAATTGGTGCTTGTGCAGCTGCAGAGGTGGGGACTGACATCTCTCTCCCGAGTTCCCCATCCCCATCCAGCACTTAGAATGCGGTCTGGACCAGCCTCCTGGATGCTCAGCACAGCCTGCCTGCCCCTTACTTGCCTGTGGCAAGTGCAAAAGTTCCCATTGCAGGAAGGGGGATAAACAAGTCTGCCCTGTTTGTTTGCCACCTCCAGCACCACCCTGAAGCCCCTCACCGTGCCCACCGTTCAGATCGCAGAAGTGGATGTACCTGCTGAAAGCAGTGAGCTACCCAGCCCCACAGGTATGTGAGCTCCAGCTAGAGGCCATTGGAGTGACAGCTGCTGTGTTTTAACCTGTGACGTTTTGTATAAGTATATAAAACCCGCATGAATCAATATGTTAAAAAAAAAAAGTTGAAAGGAAAGAATTTTAAATCTCCCACCTCCTCCTCTTTAGCTTTCCTCCCTTAAAGCAACCTGCAGCACCCTTGCTGATGGGACAAGCAAATGCATGCAAATTCATACAAGTCCAAGCATGGCTCCTCATCCTCTTTCCAGACCAGTGACAGCTTTTGTCAGGAGCCCTATACCTAGAGTCCCCTCACCGATAGCAGCTGCCATTTGACTTCCTGTCACTGTGACTTTGCTCTGAGCACCTTGTGTGAGTTGACTCACAAAGCGCATATCCTTGTATGGCTGGCTGACTTCAACTCAGCATAAGGCCTCAAGGCTCTCCCGAGCAATGCCCTGTGGCAGCTTGTTTGCAGCATCTTGCATCCCCTTAGGTCACTCTGTTCTCAGCCCTGTTATACTATTGACTTGCTTACACCCTAACTATGATCCCACAAGTGAAGCTCTTGTTACCCCTTCAGAAAACAGGCATGAGAGGCCATGGCAGGGATAGACCTGGGATCTGAGCCAGGGAAGCCGGCTCTGAGGCCTGTGCCTGGACCCTGTGCACTGTTAGCTCCTCAGCAAATTATGTGTGTGTCTCCTCAGCAGGAAATCATTTTTATAGAATGTGTTTCTGGGGAGACAGTGGGTGCCTTAAGTGTCAGCATCAAAGGAAATTGGGCTCAAGCAGACAGCTGTTTCCCCCTTCCTTCCCAGACTCCAGGGGCCTGAAGCCTGTGCAGGAGGATACCCCACAGCTGATGCGCACACGCAGTGATGTTGGGGTGCGTCGCCGGGGCAATGTGAGGACATCCAGTGACCAGCGGCGAATCAGGCGCCATCGTTTCTCCATCAATGGCCATTACTACAACCACAAGGTAGAGGACAAACCTCGGGGACATTACCGCTTTCTGGGCATCTGATACTTCAGTGTTGTGGCCATGTGGTCCCAGAGGAGGAGGAGGCACCTAGGGAGCCAAGAATTTTGAGTTCAGTCTGAGGGATGTGAGTGGGATGGAGGCTTTACTGGCTTGGAGAGAGGAATAGTCCCCATTAGGTGTGGGAGATTTCAGTAAGTAACCTGTGTGAAACAGACTTAGCTTTCAGAGCTCCATGAGCCCATCTCTTGACCTCTTCGCTCACCTTGGCAGGTCAGTCTGTGTAGTTAGTTCATGCTCCCTCCTCTGGCCTCCCCCAGTACCCTGTGATTTCCTCCTAGAGTGAGAAACAGTAACCCTCACTTCATAATAAGAGTACTAGGGGCTCCATAGTGAAAGTACAAGCTTTTATATTTCATGACTTTGCAAAGTCAGTGACATCCTAAAGAGGCAGGAAGGCAGGCCATTTGGTGCAAAACAAGGGTTTTATATTCCTAATTGCATTTAACTGACCCTTAAGTTGCCAGTTGACTGAGTTCTTTAGAGTGGTACAGTCTTCCCTGAGTCTAGTATTGTCCATCCATACCCCTCACCCCCTGTCCCACCTCAGATTCCCCATCCTATTAGATCAGGGTCCAAAATTTTCTAACTTCTATCTTGGGACTTGAATTTCCTTCTTTAAAGATCCATGGGCTCAGTCATGTAGCAGACTGCCTGTGGCTTTTCAGCCCCTAGGATGATCTGAGAGTGCTCAATCAAGTAAGCATGGTGCTGGTACCTCCTGCCTCTCTGTGATTCTCTGACAAGCTGTAAATGCACCCCCTGAAAATGAAACATAATGATTTATTCCTTTCTCTGCTGCCATCTGACCCCGGGAGCTAATGACTATTTTTGAGCAAGGCTACAGGTCTCAGTTCAGCTCAGCATACTGCCACTTTGGGGACCCCAGACTAGCTAACCCTCCCTTCCTGTCTGCTGCTTAAATCCCACCAGAAGCAAGTGCACCGTGGGAGAGTGGCCAGAGACCACCTCATACACAAGTGCATGGTGGGAGTCTGGTTTCTCAAAGGAAGGGTCTCTGAATGTTTTGCTTATCTTGTCTCACCCCTAACCCTGCTCTTTGGAGCTCAGACCTGCCTGAACTTCTCAGGGGAGTATAGTCTGAGCTGGACAAACCCTCAGGGCCCCTTTGTCTACATCCATGCCCGATGCTGGCCAGAGTGCCTGAGGCTCTCCTCAAGCACTGGTTTTGATACTCAGTCCGTGTCCCCACTCCTCCCCTAAGCCACACCCCCTCTGTTGACAGACATCAGTTTTCACACCAGCCTATGGCTCTGTCACCAATGTCCGAATCAACAGTACCATGACTACCCCCCAGGTCCTGAAGCTGCTGCTCAACAAGTTTAAGGCAAGTTCTCTCCATTGGCTGTGAGGTTCAAGGCTGTCAGGGTGGGAGGTGGCGGGGAGGAGCTTGCCATCCACAGTGATCTCCCACCCCCATTAATTGTCCACAGACCAGCACACTGTAGGTATCCCTCTCTGAGACTCATTTCCCAGTGATTCTAGATTGTGTAGAAATGACATTTATAACATCAACTATTGTTTATTTACTTTTTTTTTTTTTTTGAGATGAGACCTCACTGTATTGCCCATATTGGTCTCAAACACTGGATTCAAGTGATCCTATGGCTTTAGCCTTCTGAGGGGCTGGGACTATACGTATGAGCCTAGCTAATATGTTTTCTTTCTTTCTTTTTTTTTTTTTTCTTTTTTGTTCCAAATGATTTTATTTTATTTATTTATTTTGTGGTCCTAGGACTCCATTTCAGCTCCTCACCACCCTCAGCCTTTGTATTCTTGTGTTTTTCATTTTGTATTTATGATTTGTGTGTGCTTGTGCCACGATGTGTGCATTCGGGCGCATGTCCTACGATGCACGTGCAGGCGACAACCTTGTGGAGTTGACTCTCTCCTGTGCAGGTTGTCAGACTTTATGTACCAAACACCACTGCCCACTTAGCTGCCTTGCTGTCTAGAGCATTCTTATTCTTCATGGAAGCCAGTGCAGCCTAGGACACAAAGCTCTGAGTTTGGGTCCCCATGCACCACCTGCCGGTTGGCTGAGAGGGGCAAGTTATGTTAACCTTGATGTGCTCTGGCTTTCCTGTTATAGGACGTGTGTCATAGTATGAGTGAACACATGTTAAGAGTGAGAGTGGAGGGTGGTACCCATGTGTTATAGGATGCCATAGTATGAGATGAGTGAACACCCGTTAAGTGTGCGGGACTCCCATTCTGGCATGTGTTAACTATTCCAGTTCAAAAGCTTGAAATCTAAAATGCACCAACCTCAGAAACTTCTTGAGCAATGATGTGACTCGGTCATCATCTTGGGTCTCAGGTTTCTATAGAAGGAAGCTAAGCTGGTAAAACTTCTGCCAAAATCCCGAAACATGAAAACCTCTGAAATCTGAAACATGTCTTCTCCCAAACCTTGTGGGTGAAGGATGCTTCACTGCTATTGTCTAGCATGATTGACAGTCCCCTACCTGCTGCATGTCCGTGGTTGTAAATAAACGGCCCTTACTTTGCACAAGCCTGGAGTCTGGCTTCCAAGAGCGAAGGTAGATCAAATGGCTCAAGGCTGGGATGTTTCACTGAATTTATTTTTGCTCTTGATTCAGATTGAGAACTCAGCAGAGGAGTTTGCTCTGTACGTGGTCCATACAAGTGGTGGTGAGTCTGAACAGCCTGGTCCACTTCACATCCTTCAATTAACTCAAAATAGCAAGTTCAGGACAAAACCCTCTATTCTATTGCGGCTGTTTCCTAAAATTCTAACTGTTGTCTCTAAGCCTGGTGGGCTTTTGGGACAAATGCCCCAGGGAATGCCTTGTGGGCGGTAATACTAAATCCCCAAACTTAACTGCCTATTAGAAAATGAACTGGATTTTCTCTAGAGACAGATGCCCAGTTCCTCCTGAGGGTCTGAGGCATGGTAGTGTAAGTATATGTTGGCGGGTGGGGGGTATCAGGCTAGTGTGCATTGTATGGGGAGGCTGTGGGGGGGTAATGTGTATGGGGGAGCTAGTGTGTGTGTGTGGGGGGGAGGCTACTTTTAATACAGATGTTGAGTAGTTTATTCCAACACAATCTGACTCGTGTAGCTGCATCTTGTAAGTTGCATGTCCCATTTGGAACCCTGAATTGGCCACATTTTTTGGTGAGAATGTGCTTGGGCTCAGCTCAGGCTACCTTGGTTGTGTCAATTTCAGAGAAGCAGAAACTGAAGAACTCTGACTACCCCCTGATTGCCCGCATCCTCCAGGGTCCATGTGAACAGGTCTCCAAAGTCTTCCTAATGGAGAAGGACCAGGTGGAGGAGGTCACCTATGATGTGAGTTCCTTTTCGTTGGTGGTCCGTCCTCAGCAGCAAGGATGTGGGAGAGGAGACTTACTGGGTTACAGAATGACTTTTTGACCAGAGTGTTGTCCCCTATGGCTGCCATGCTTTAATATCAGCTTCTTTGGATAGCAGTTGAGGGCAGGCCCTGTGGGATTGTTAGAGGAATGAATTTCTTGAGCCTCCCAAGGATGCTGGGGCTCTGAGGTCTTTGGAAGCATGCTCTCACACCAAGAGCTCAGCAGTGAATTTCTTTTCTTAGGTGTTAGTTGGTACAGTAACCCCCAAATTCAAGTTCCTTATAACATTCACCATTTTCCTCCTGATTCTGCTAGCTTGTAATAGCAGCCCTGTGCTAGGCTCGGGTGAATTTGATCTTATTCAGTTCCGGATGAAGGGCAGTGGCTTCTTGGGCTCTCTTGCCCGTGGCAGATGGTTGGAGCATAAGAAACTAGTACAGGGGCTAGGGAGACGGCTCAGTAGGTAAAAAGCTGCACGTGTGTGAGGGCCTGAGTTTGAATTCCCAGGACCCACATATATACATAGGTGCTCAATAGTGAGATGGGAGGTAGAGGCGGGAGACTTCGGGGGGGGGGGTTCCTCTCCTATGGGGCCACCTAGCTTGTCACATATAGTGACAAAAAACAAAGACACTCTGCCTCAAACAAGGTGAAAGATAAAATTTTCCTCTGTTCTACATGCAAGCCCTTTACTTGAGCACCTGTACTCACACATATATATGTCTGTGTATACACAGTACACACACATGATAAGTCTGTAAACAACTTTTAAAAGAGGAAACTAGTCTGAACTATGGAAGCTCATTTGAAGTCTCCACTCAGATTGAGAGTGTGGCAGATCTACAGGAATCCCAGTGGCCACTGCAAATGCTTGTAGTGTAGAGGAATACCCACATGGAAGCTGAGAGAGTAGGTCAGGGTTGTGTTTGTTTTGTTGTTGTTGCTGTTTGGTTCTTTTTGGGGGTGTTGGTTTTTTGAGAAAGGGTTTCTCTGTATAACCCTGGCTATTCTGGAACTCATTCTGTAGACCAGGCTGGCCTTGAACTCACAAAGATCTGCCTACCGCTGCCTCCCAAATGCTGGGATTAAAGGCGTGTGCCACCACCACTCAGTTGGGTTTTTTTGGGGTATGTGTGGGTGGGCACTGGGGAAATAAAGCCATTTCTTTAACTCTCTGGAGCCAGTCGCTCCCCTATTTGGCTACCCAGAGACTGGAGGCATGAAGCTGGGCTCTGATGACTCCTCGCCTTCCCTCTGGAGAGAACAAAGCAATTTTTAAGGACTTCTTTGGTCTTTGATTTGTTGCAGTTCTGGGGATGGAACTCGGAGCCCACCTTCACCCTCCCAGCCCCAGGAGGGAACTAGAGTCCACCTCCACCCTCCCAGCTACACTCCTAGCCCTAGGAGATCTTTTTCTGAATCATTATATGAAAGGAAAGTACTTTTCTGTTTGAAGTCCTGAGTCGTGGCTCACAATGATGAAATGAAAACTGAGAAGTGACAAGATGGAAACATGTAAATTCAGGTTTTTTCATGCAGACCTAACCAGCCTAGTGTAGAATGAGGAAATTCTGGGTTAGTGCAAAAATAGATTCCTGATGGCTTTGTGCCTCCAAGAGAGCTATAGCAAAAAACTTCTGTAGCAACGGCATTTGCTCCCCCTCCCCAGGTGGCCCAGTACATCAAGTTTGAGATGCCAGTCCTGAAGAGCTTCATTCAGAAACTCCAGGAGGAAGAGGACCGCGAGGTGGAGAAGCTCATGCGCAAGTGAGAGCCTGGGTCAGGCTGCATTTCAGGCCGCGCAGTGGGGACTGGCGCCAGAGGGCTGCCCACTGGCAGGCCCAGATCTCAGACAGGGACAGGAGTACTGGGTTTCTGCTCCCTGCTCCTGTGTCAGCCGATTACTTGGATATGAGATAACTAAATATCCTTCCCTTTCCTTTTGTGAAAGAACTCTGGGAAAGAAATGTGTTGGCTTCAAATCTCTTTGGAATCTGGATTTAGAAATAGGGAAGTCCCTTTCTCCCGGGTCTTAATCTATTGTCTGTTTCTGTAACCAAATTCTCAGGGCTGGGTAATTTAAAAAGAAGAGAGATTTATTTAGCTTACAGTTCTGGAGGACTAAGAGCATGCATGGCTCACAACTGCTTGGTTTTGGTGAGGCCCTTATGGCTGATGGGGTGTCAGTGATAACCACGTGCGAGACAGGAAGCTAGAGAGGGACTTGGGGTGAGAGCTTTTTTTTTTTTTTTTTTTTTTTAAAAGAATTTGTTATTTTAAGAACTAACTGGAGTCTCGTGAGACTCTACTCATTCAACTATTACCCAACATCACCATGTGGAGACCAGGCTCTGAACACACAGACCTTTGGGAGGAGGCACATTCAGACGATGGCATGGTACTGTCACAGCTGTGTGACAAGGCTCCCAGAAGGAAGGTGGCGTTCCCTCAGATGAGGCTCAGAGTCTGAGGTCATTTGAGGGTCAGCACAGGTCCTGGGGCATGTCCCAAAGGGGTCCAGGCAAAGAATGCTGAGAGGCAGGTGCTCTGGGAACCCTAGGAGATGGCCCGAGCCGCCCACTCTAAAATCCTCCCCATCCTTCCCCCCTTTAGATGTGTTTCTTCCAGAATTACATTTGGGTTGAAGAGTTCAGCAAACTTCTTTCTGGGAGAAACCAATGATTTCATAATTTTAGTCACAGAATAGACGGCCTTTTGTGGATATAATAGAAAGTTGTTAATCTGTTGGAGGATAAAGCCAACTATGTATTTCCTGCTTTCAGTAATTAGTATGACAGCAGCTGACATTTTATTGAACATATACTATGTCCCAGACTTATTGAACATGTACTGTGTCCTAGACTTTAACATAGCTTTTGCTGTATAGTGCAAACTCCAAGGGGCTAATTTGGAATGGACCTCTTTGCCTGTCATCCTAGTGTGGAAGGATATTTGAAATGGTTGAGAGTGGCTAATGCTGAGAGCTAAGGAGCAGGATGGTTGGGCTCTGGTGTTGCTTGGGTGGCGGGGGAGGCACACGAGGTGTATTGTAGACTGCCACCCACTTCCGGCTGCTTTTGTCCCCAGGTACACTGTGCTTCGGCTAATGATTCGGCAAAGGCTGGAGGAGATAGCAGAGACCCCTGAGACAATCTGAGCCATAGGAACCAGGGGACTCCAGACACTCCCCGGGCTGCCGCTGACCTGAGAAGCCCCGTGGGAAGCAACCCCCCAAAAGTCAGCATCACTTCTTGGAGTAGGACACAGAAGCGGCAGACGGCTCCGAATCTCCGGATCCCTGCCTCCTTTGTTTCATTCTTAGGAGCTCTCTTTCACATACCTGCGTGTGTGTTTGCACTCACGTACCTGATGTGTATGGGGGCACACACACGTGTATACATACATACCCTTATTCTGTCCATATGCTTCCCTGATGTTTTCACATGCAATTAAATGCCAAGCAGCCAGCACGGGTGCCACGAGGCTGGCAGACATACTGCTCCTGGGCAGGAAGAACAGGGAAGTAGCTAAGGCGTTTGCCTCTTCCAGTACCAACGGCAGTCACACATATCTGCCATGTTTAAAGGGATGCGGCAGGCTCACCATTTGGGATGCCTGAAGGTTTGTGGCAGAGACTCTGTCCATTTGTCAAGAAGGATGGGTGACAGTGATATCTTTGGGAATTAGCGACCTGACAGTTCAAGGCCTTTGGGGCAAGTCCAGTGACATGGAAAAGTGAGGTCACTGCAGGGCAGATGCAATGAGTCTGTGAGTTTTTGCACTGGGAAGGTTATCGTTGGAGAAAGCACAATGAAGATCCTGTCCTATGTGGACACCTGGGAAGGATGGATCCTGCCTCTGTTCTTGACTTTTGGACATTTCTGGGTGTTGCCACTCCGGTCCTTGGTGTCCTCCCTGGCTTGAAGACAAATCTTGTGAAACTAAAGGGTCTGGAGTGAATGTGACTCCAACCTGCTCATGTGCCAGGGCTAGGTGTGTACTAAGATAAACGACATTCAGAAGGGGAAGATAGAGGGCACCTGCTGAAATGACATTCCTTTAAGCCCTTGTGCATAGCATATCAGTAGGAGTCGAGCCCACGTGGAGTTGGGGCTTTGTGTTTGAAGCCAAAATGTATTCTTTCTGTCTCTGCACACTTGCAAGCTCCTCCACCTTGTACAAGGAGAGGGATTCCAAGAATGATGACTTGTTTTGGTTTTGATTCAACACAGGGATCAAGGGAGTTCTTTGGGGGCGTCCTGTGAAGTGTGGCCAGAGAGGATGGTTCTCAATTAGCCAATGAACAACCTCATTGGAAGAATGGGTGTGGATGGCTCTGTACCCCCTCCATTAGGGAAACTGTCATGCAGCTGGCCACCTGTGTGGCTTGTACCATTTGGGGTGGGACAAATAGATGCTGGGAGCTTGCTGCTTGTCTATGAAACACAACCAGGCAAGATGAGCAGCCCGTAACTCAGGCATCTCTAAGCCTTGCTGCAGTAGAGAGCTGTTCTCAAGAAAGCTCTAGAAGTGTAGCAGCTGAGGGAGTGAGGGCCCCTGACCAGTGTGCCTTTTAAGGAAGGTGGACCTCTCTAGTAGACCTGTTTCCATCTAGGTATGTTGCTGTTTTCTACCTGCTTTAGAAGGTCTCATTGGGGGCTTTCAAATGCTGGCTTGTGGACAGCCATTTTGCTGGATATTAGTTAGCAACCTAGCTCCTCTGCTAGAACAGCACCATGCATCCCATGAGCCCTGGGATGGAAACCCAGAAGCCCTTAGTCCCAATCATACTCTCCAATGGACATCAGCAAAGCACAAAACTAGGGACAGCAGATGTCTCATCCCTTATAATCGTAAACTTCATTGGACTTCAGGAAAACACAACTCAGCAGGGGGCTGGGGGCCCTTTTATTACAGATAAGGAGAAGCTTTGTGGATGAAAATATGTAAGAAAATGATTCGGACAATTTCCCTTCCAGTTATTTTTATCTTGAATGTTTAGAGCCGATTCTGCCCCATAATTCTCCTTTGGGAGGTAGGGGGCTTTCCACAGAACACTATCTCTTACTGGAAGGGGGTGTCTGGTTTATAAAGGTTCTTTGTGATCATGTTAATATGTGACTGTTGCAGGGTTCGGGTTGCCAGGTTCTCCAAGAAGGTGTTGCCAAGGTGATGACTTTTAAAGTGTGGGTTCCAGAAAGAGCCGGGGTCCATCTCCACTAATTCATCTTGGCCTGTCCCTTAGAATCATTTCTTACATCCAAATAACTGAACAAGAATTTTAGGAACTTGGCTGGGGCTGTGACGCAATAGAGCACTTAGCGCGTGAGAAGCCAACTTCAATCTCTACTATCACAAAAAAAAAAAAAAAAAGAGAGAGAGAGAAAGAAAAGAAAAAGTAAAAAGAAAGACAGTGTGTGTGGTCCAGTGGCAGGGGGATTACTTAGTGTGTTAGGGCCTGGGTTCTAACTTCAGCACCAAGAGCCACCCCACCCCATGAATTCTGGAACCCTTTAAAATGGCTGCATCTAAACAGGCCTCTACAGTGGCGGCTGGATTTTCTCACTGGTGTCGCTTAGCCTCGAAGCTTTCAGCTCCAAGACTGATTTGTGTAGGTTTATGTAATTGTATGCGACGAACCTGAAATCCTGAGGAATAAAAGGCGAACGCATGGGGGACGGGGTTAATCCCGCTTGTGAAAAGCGCTTTGGCTGCATCCAGACTCCTTTTTCCTCAGCAAAGGCTTATGTTACACTGTGCTGAAGAGAACAGCAGACTCTAAGTGGGGTGGTGAAATCAGGCACCGGCTCACGTTCTCAGTGATCACATTTGTGGGGAGGCAATGGCTCAACGCAGGTGGAGGTGTTAGTTGGAAAGGGGCCCAAAGCACAAATACCAGCCTGCGTGTGTTACTGGTGAAGGGCACACGGCTAACACTGGACGGACTGCAGCTAAGGCTGGGGGAGAGCCTCAAGGGACAGTACCATGGCCCAAGGCCAAGATGTTGCTCTGAGATGAGCTGATACTTTTGGGAAGAAATATTTGCACCCATCTCCTTTCCTAAGCGTTTCTAAAGACTTCCAGATAAGGATATTTTATATTTTTATCTGTGGCATATGATGATCTTCCAAAATCTGTTGTCCCTGCAAAAATCTTGGCAAGGATTGTGTTTTTCATGTTTGTTTGGTGTCAGGAGGGTAGATGGCAAGAAGCGCTCAAGAAATGCCAGCTCTTATAAGACGACAAAAACAATAAAACCTCAAAAGGAAAGCCATATTTTATTGGAAGCTTTGTACCACGGAGAACTTGGAGATCAGACATACATTTCCAAGAAAGAAATATGGCACTGACCAGAGGAGTTTTAGTGTGCCCAACGTGAGGGAGGAGACAGAAGGCTGCCCTGAGCTCACTCCCACAGTTTGGAAGTTTTAACTTGGGTTGTTCTCTCTCCTTCCAGATGAGAGAACGTCATGAGAATAAACTCACTCACTGGGGACATTCCTTCTTTCAGACAGATTGAAAGTGTTCAAGTCTTGGAATACACGACACCCCCATTCGCCTCCCATCATTCCCCCAAACTTGCCTCCCATCACCCCCGCGGAGGGGGGGGGACGACCGTTCCCATTGAACTGAGAACTGAGGTGCTCAACTGTGAACTTTCAGAAAAGCCTCAGTATCCGGGCTGCTGGCTCCTGGGGTTCCTTCTAGTGTTCCTTCTGTTTCCCTCTTAGTTGTGTGCAGTTGTATGCAGTTTTTCTTCTTTGTCATAACTTGCCTGTTAGGAATGGTACATGACTTAGTTCAGCCATTGGGTCTGAACTAATAGATTGCATAGGCATCTTAACATTTGATGAGGCCTCTGTGGGAACCCATGGGTTTGTAACCTTTTTTTTTTTTTTTTTTTTTTTTAATTTTAAATGAACCCGACTTAGACCTTATTTAAATAAAACAGAATTGATTAATCTTTTTTTAATTATATCAATCAATTAATTGTATGTGTATGGGCATTTTGTCTTTATCGCTATATGGGTACCCTGTACATGCCTGGTGCCTTCAGAGGCCAGCATGTTGGGTGAAGTTACAGATGGTTGTGAGCTGCCCTGTGGGTCCTGGGAATCCAACCCACCTCCTCTGGAAAAGCAGCCAGTGCTCTTAACCACTGAGCCAACTCTCCAGCCCTGATGGATCTTCTAAATGATAGCTTCCATCCTGACTTTTTGGATATGACACTAAAAGACACATGCAACAAAAACAAATACCTGGAACTCTGTATGACTACATGGAGCTGAAAAGCTTTCCCGCAGCAAAATGAAAAGATGTCCCACAGGACAAGCAGAGATATTTGCAAAACGCATATCTGACAAAAGGTTAGTGTCCTGAGTGTCACTCCCCAGGTCTTGGCTCTGAATGTTCCCTGTTAGTCACTAAGCCTCCCTGAGTTGCTATGGTCCCCCTACCCACGCTTGTATAACTGCCTGGGGTCAACAGTACCAAGGCCGAACTCCCCAGGCTTCTGGAAGGGTGACTGATGCCAAGATTGGTACAGAAGGAACAGGACAGCGTGGGTGTGGCCAACTAATGGAAGATAATTAATGTCTCAGAGATGTCTAGGGTATAATTTTGGGAAGAAACTGTTGAGAACTCCCACACATACCAAATAACTGTCTGGTACATTCAAAAGCTTTGATCCAAAATCATCCTAAGTAAAGATGTAAAGATAAGGACTTTATATGAGAAATATAATTTTGGTTAAAGTTCCATAACCAGATTTTGGCAGTAACACAATTGCCACAAAAATCAAGTTGTTTGGCCCAAAGTTCTTGAACAAGGAAAATTAGAAGTAACAAAATCTATGACCCATTAAAAGAAGCCAGAAAGTGTAGGCTGAGTTTAAAATACTCTTAATAGTCTAGAGGTGAGTCAGAGGAAACATTAAATGAATCTTCAAAGTTGCTAAAATAATGAAAATGTATAAAATATATTGTATTTCTAGGTAAGGATCTAATAAAAGATTAGAAAATAAAATTGAAGAATGGAAAGATATACTTTAATAGATTAGAAATGTGGCAGGCAGGCTGGAGAGATGGCTCAGAGGTTAAGACATCTTCCAGAGGTCCTGAGTTCAATTCCCAGCAGTGGCTCACAACTATCTATAATGAGATCGGGTGCCCTCTTCTAGCCTGAAAGCATATATGCAGACAGAACACTGTATGCATAATAGATAAATCTTAAAAAAAGAATGAAATGTAACAGGCTCCCTAAATTTATCTATAGACTTAGGTAACCTCAATACAACAAGTAGGTTTTTTAGGCCTTTTATGATAATGGTTCAACAAAAATTATAAACAGAAATGGTATTCAGCCATTACAAGTGTTATTTAAACACTGATGTTAGGCTATTGTGCCGGTGAGCTTTGACTGTCAGCCTGATGCAAACTAGATTTATCTGAGAGGAGAGCCTCAACTGAGGCATTACCTGGATCAGCTGATCTATGGGTGCATCTGTTCAGTGTTGCTCTGGTTGTTAGTTGATGTAGGCTGGCCCAGCCCACTGTGGGCCTTACCAGCCCTAAGCAAGCAGCTTGAGCTGTACACAAAGATAGCTGGATGGAAGGCAGCTTTTGAGCCAGCTAGCAAGCTGCCTCCCTGAATCCCCCATGCCCCACCTCGCTCCCTACTGATCGTTGGCTGTGAAGAACTTTGCTCTGTGGAATAGCAAGCAGGTCTGCCTGCAAGACCCCACCTTGGGTCCTGTCTTGACTCCCCACAAAGAAGCGTTGTGGTCAGGAATTGCACGCTGAAACAAACCCTTTTCTCCCCTGAATTGCTTTTCATCAGCGTATCTGTCCCCGAAACAGAAATGAAACTAGAACAGTTATCATGTAAACTAGGGGAAAGCATGCTTGATAGGAATGCAAGCAGATATGCAAAAGTCCGTGAAAACAATGGCCTAGTGGTGGAGTTATGTTTTATTTACGCTTCTATTACATTTAAATTTCTTGTTTACTAAGTTCAAAGACCACTCTGTGCTCCCCCATCCCACATGGACACCTGAGCCCCGAGCTATGAGTTCCAGAACCGATGAGAGATGGGATGGTGGCAGTATGATTATTTCTGGGCTGTAGCTGCAATAGTCTTGCCAGTGTAGTTGTGTTAGTGGCCATACCCTTTGGTCATGGCTTCAGTTACTGCCTAACCAGAAGGCAGGAAAGCTTGGGGCTTCCTCCCTCCCTCCCTCTCTCTCCCTCTCTCCCCCCCCCCCTCTCTCTCTCTCTCTCTGTCTCATGTAGAGGATCGGATTGGAAGGGCAGAGAAAGGTTGTGGTGGTTCTTTATTATCATCTGTGTAAGTTGTTCCCCAATAAAAACCTATTTATCATTTATCTTGGGCCCAGTGAATTTATTATCTATCCCACCTTCACTGGACTTACTAAGATGATTGTCCCATAGAATTAGTTATTGCCTCAGATGCTTTCTGGATGTACACAATAAACCAATAACACATGGTCTGAGAATTACCCAGCTGACTGATCTTAAAATGCCCCCAGAATTCCCCGCCCTCAAAACCTCAAGGATTCTGAAAAACCCACTTAAATCCTCATGCATGTCAGTGTCTTTGAGCTTCAGTGGGTAACAGAATCAACAGGAACTTGACCCTTAGCCTACTGGGCCACACTAGTTCCTCATTCTGCAGAGGGGTGGGTGGAGATTCACATCTCTCTTGGAGTTCTCATGAGATGTTGGTGTTTAGGTCAGGACTACATGAATCTGAGGCACACATTGCCATCACCTGGGCAGTTTCAAAAAAAAATGTTGATGGCTATATCACATACTAAGAGGTTCAGACTCTATTTGGGGTGTCTGTGTGGCTCCTAAGGCAGGTTTTCTTTAATTAAAAAAAAAAGTGTGTGTGTGTGTGTGTGTGTGTGTGTGTTCTGTACATGGTTTGTGGGTGGAGTCTGAGTGTGGTGTCTGTATATGTTGTAGGCGTGTGTGTGTGTGTGTGTGTGTGTGTGTTCTGTACATGGTTTGTGGGTGGAGTATGAGTGTGGTGTCTGTATATGTTGTAGGCGTGTGTGTGTGTGTGTGTGTGTGTGTGTGTGTGTGTGTGTGTTCTGGATGTGGTTTGTGGGTGGAGTATGAGTGTGATGTCTGTATGTTGTAGACTGTGTGTGTGTGTGTTCTGTACGTGGTTTGTGGGTGGAGTATGAGTGTGGTGTCTGTGTATAAGGTGTACACTCACATGTGTGCAGTTGTCCTACATGTCAAAGGAGGACATTCAGGCTCCTTGCAGCAGCCTTTCTAATCCACTTCCTGTCCAGCTTTACTCTTGCCTGGATGCCTTCCTGTATGCACTAAGCATTGAGAACTACGTTACCAAACAATCCTATAAGTGTGCAAATCCAAATCCAGACAACCCTAAGCAATGATGTATCATCCCAGGCAAACACTGAGACACAATATACCAAAACAACACTAAGCTGCCTGGCCCCTGTTATTCAACCCTACAAGACCCAAAAGATTCGTAAAAGATCCCAAATGACCCCTAGTGGCCAAAATATCCTAAAGAACCTTAGAGAAGTCAAATACAGTGTGAGGGCCTGTGTCCGGACTACCGCTAAGGTGGGAGACTTGCTTGACCCCAGGATTTTTGGGGGTAGCCTGGACAACACAAGCCCAAATAAATACGTTTGGGCTAGAAGTATAGTTCAGTGGAGTGCTTACATGAGACTCCGGGTTCAACACCTCATACTCCAAAACAGAACAGACTCTAATTAGTCTAGTCACATAAAAACAAAAAGCTGAAATGACACCAGCTACTGTAGGACCTGGAATGCTCCTAACTGTAAAACTTAAAAAGTTTAAAACCCCAGTCCTTAATTGTAATAACCCTAAATAATAATCTCAGATGAAGTACAGAATCCTCTGCTATAGCAACATTCTAAATGCCACCAAACATCTTAAACAGGTTTATTGGTTCCGAACAACTCCAAAGATAAGGAGAGCCAATTCTAAACATTAAGCCAATTCTAAACATTAAGTACTCAAGTTCAAGAAAGAAAGAAGGAAGAAAGAAAAGAAGGAAGGAAGGAGAGAGGGAGGGAGATTCTCTGCCTTCTCGGGGCTCTGCTTTTCGCCTTCTGTACAGTCTCTATGCTGACGTCTCTCTGGCCTTCTGCCCCTCAAACATGCCGAACATCCCTGCTTCCAGGATTGGAACTTGCAACTTCTTTCTGGACCAATGTTTCCCAGCTCATCACAAGCTTGTCTCCTCTCTAATGGAGCTCATCTTTCACTGGTGATATTCCTGGGCTGAGCATAGCCATCAGCCTCCGTTACCACTGCTTCCATTTTCTTCAAAGCATCATTTTAGGTTGTTTATCTCGGGGAGTTGCCGTAGTGACCTGACAACAAATTTTCCAGTCTCAAGGAAGTTAAAGCTAACAACTTCAAAGACTTTGACATTAATAACTCCATAATCCTCCGTCCCAACAGGCAATGCAATAGACATGTTGACAGTAGCTCATCCTGACTACATCACCTACTAATGACTGAACACATTCATGCCTCCAAGCAAAGCTCTGGTTATACGCTTTGATTTTAATTCTGCTTAGGAGTCTATTGCCCCTCAAGACCCTGAATTCCCAGTGATGATGGATTAATGTATGATTGACCTCAAATCCCCCCCAGTACCAACAAGTTTAAAACCTAATTAACCATGAACTAATTACTAAACTCTAGGTTCCATAAGCCCACATACACCCTGCCGAGAGCCCTAACCTATATTGCCCTTCTTAATGACAGATTGCCCTCATAAGGAAGTCTAAATGACTTAAGAAGAGTCATAGAGATGCCTAAGGCATTACCAACTCCAGATTTTGTCTTGACTCTGACCCAAAGACCCTAAGCCCTAGTGAGCTTAAAGTTAAACATTTAAAGTATTGTTAGATAGCCCAGCCTGGTGCCCCTGATGAAGACCGTCCTACTCTCTTCAGCACTCCTTCTCCTAAGCACGGATGTGAGCGTGGACCAGGTCTGCCGTGTGGGGTATCTGCTTGAAGTAGCAATGTGATAGAGGAAAATTTTTACTCTTCTGCACTTCCGTAAACTTACTTTAGCATCATTTCTTCATCTCAGAATTTCTTGGATGACCTTAAAAAATACCCACCTCCAGGTGACATTCCAAATCCTTTATAATTTTTTCTGAGACAGGTTTTCTCTGTATAGCCCTGGCTGTCCTGAAACTCATTCTGTCGACCAGACTGGCCTCCAAACACAGAGATCTGTCTGCCTCGGTCTCCGAGTGCTGGGATTAAAGGCGTGCGCCACTCCGCCTGGTTTGACACTCCAAGTGTTTTTGTAGGGTCCTCCTAAATAATTCTGGATAATTACTCCCTGTTAGACTCACTTGCAAGGCCATTCTCTACCTACAGAATTCACAGGGCTTGGACATAATGTTTTTGGGGGTGTTTTTCAGTCCACTGTGCTCTGGAAAACACAAAGTTGTTTGGGAAAGATGAGTTTAGACATAAAGAATGCCCTTGATCAGCTGACCCTTGTTCAGTGGACAAGAAAACACACACCATGGGCAGGTTGAACCATAAACATCCTGGTGCTAACAGTAGCCCCAGCTCCCAGCTTCCCTTCTCAGCCAGCTCTCTATTTCATTGTCGCCACACAATGCTGGGGCATTCCCCAAACAGCTGGGAAAACTTGGGCTCCTTCCCCCACCCTGGAGTTTGACATTAGGATCAATTAAGGTCCTGGACACTGAAACAAAACAGCATTTTCACCTCTGCAAAGACAATGCATCCCAGTGACTTAGAAGGCTGGATTGCTCTGTGTAATCCTGAAGGACATGTCACAGTCACCTGCTTTCTCGCTCTCAACTACGTGGTTTGCTCCAGTTTGCCTCACCTCTGATGAGGCCACTGGTGCTTACAGTTGCTTTGGAGCTCAGAGCCTACAAGTGACTGCTAGACAGAAATACTGGTAGGTATTTCATGAAGCCCTGGCCTCACCTCATGCTTGGGGGCCACCCGGTGTCTGGGCTTTGGTTCATCAGGCCTCCTTAGCCCATTCTGTGGAGCCCTAAAAGGGGACATTTGCAGAGCGCAGGCCAGTGTCATAGCAGGGTCCTCTCTTCTTAGGGCTTGCAAGCCTGACTCTTCTTCTGACTCACTTTTTAGCAATGCTGCTGGCAATTTTGGGAGCACCCGTTGCTGAGCATCCGGGACCTTGGGGTGCTTCCAGTGAGCCTGGCCTTTCATACTTCCCCGGGTTCCATCTGATTCCCCCTCATGTTTCCTAACCATGGCTAAAGTATTGCTTGGTTCCCGAGTGTCCCTCTACTTTCCAGACTATTCCTATCTCTGGGCCCTTTATGGCTGCTTCCTTGCTCTTCTTTAGACTCCACCCGGCCATGGTCCTAGGATTGATCAGATTAGGAGCCTCTCTACCTTCCCTTCATCTTGAACCCCAGTGGCTTCCTGTTGCACCTAGAATGAATTTAGAACTCCTACATAGTCTTCAATGCCCTCATCCTAGCCCCCAGCTGATCCTTAGCACATCTTGCACACCCGTGATCTTGCTTCTTCTCTGCCTACCCACACCCCCAACCACAGGAGGAGATGGCAGATCTAGCGTGGCCAACTTATTCCACTTTGCTCTCACTTTCCAGGACTCAGCCCATCTTGACAACCCAGCTAATGCCTCCTGTCCTCAGGAACTCTCTCCTCACATCTAGGTGTGCTGTGATAGTGGCAAATACCTATAACCCCAGCACTTGGGATGTGAGGTAGGAGAACAGTGAGGATAGGCTATATAGTGAGTTTGAGGCTAGCCCAAGATGCATGGTGAGGCTATCTCAGACTATCAAAACATTCAAATACCCATGGAGTCAACATTGCAGTCCCAATCCAGCCTCTTCCTGGCCGTCCTTCACTGTGCTTCATTCCCATCCATGCAGCTGCCGTACTTTGCTTACTATCCTATCTATGTTTAATAAGGACCAGAAGAAGCAAATAGGCCAAATAGATGTTTATTCAGGGAGAAATAACTCACAACATAGACAGATGAACACCAGCAGGTTCCTAGTCCCAAGGATGCCGGAAGTGCTCCTGTCCCAGTGCTGCAAGCAAGAGAGCTCTCCAAGCCCCCTCCTCAGCCTTAGTTTCCCCAGGTCACATCCGACCCTGTCTCCACCCCTCATGGGTGTGGTCTATGCCACAGGTGCAGACAAGGTGAATATCTTACTACACTATCCATTCCTTTGTAGCAGAAGCTTCCAGGAAACAGCTCTCTCTATTCTGTTCACTGCTGTATTCCTTCTGTTTAAGACACCTTTCTTGTCTGTGCTGAAGGAATGAGTGGTTTTCCCAGC